GCGCTGTGGAAGGCAGGATGGGGGCTCTGATGGAACGTGTGTGTCCCCCCCTCCCCAGCTGGAATTCGTGGATTACGTGTTCCACGGGGAGCGGGGCCGGCGGGAGACGGCGAACCTGGAGCTGCTGCTGCAGCGCTGCAGTGAGGTGCAGCACTGGGTGGGCACGGAGCTGCTGCTCTGCGAGGGGCTGGGCAAGCGAGCCCACCTGCTCAAGAAGCTCATCAAGATCGCCGCTATGTGAGTGGGGGGACCGCGGGGGACTGCGGGGGGGGTCCCTGCGGTGCCCCAGCCCGCCCCTCACGCTGTCCCCCACCAGCTGTAAGCAGAACCAGGACATGCTCTCCTTCTACGCCATCGTCATCGGCCTCAACAACGCCGCCGTCAGCCGCCTGCGCCTCACCTGGGAGGTGAGGGCTGGGGCGCCCCTGACCCCCACGGTGCTCCCAGATCTTCCTGTGCCTTTCTGAATGCCCCCAGGTGCTCCCTGGCCCTTTCCTGGGTGATCCCAGTCCGCTCCTGGGTGCTACCTGTTCCCTCTGGGAGCTCCCACCCCTCGCTCCAGGCTCCCCAGGACTCTCTGGATGCTCCCAGACCACCCCTGGCTGCTCCCTGACAGCCCCTGGGTGCTACCAGGACCCTTGGGGTGCTTGTGCCCGCACCTGGCTGCTCCTAGATCTCTCCTGGCTTATTTCAGATGCCTCTTGTGTGTTCTTGGAACCCCCCCAGGAACTCCCTTCCCCTTCAGGACTCCCAGAACTTCTCTGGGTGCTCCTGAACTGCCCTTGGGCACTCCTACCCCACTCTCCAGTGCTCCCAGGACTCTCTGGATATTCTCAGTCCACCCCTGGGTGCTCCCTGACACTGCCCAAGTGCATCTAGGACCCTCGGGGTGCTCGTGCCCACACCTGGCTGCTCCCAGACCTCTCCTGGCTTCTTCCTGACCCCACTTTGAGCACTCTTGGAACCCTCCAGGAGCTCTCACCCCCACCTCAGTGCTTCCAGGAATCCTCTGGATGCTCCCAGAGTACCCCTGATGCTTCCAGACCTTCCTGGGCCTTTCTGGACACCCTCAGATATTCCCTGACCCTTTCCTGGGCTCTCCCAGAACCTCCTGGATGCTCCTGCCCTCCTCTTTGGTGCTCCCAACCCTGCCGGATGCCACCTACCCTCTCCCCGTTTTTGTCTTTCAGAAGCTCCCAGGGAAATTCAAGAATCTGTTTCGGAAGTTTGAGAACCTGACGGTGGGTGAGGGGTGTGGGGGCTGCTCTGGGTCTTGGGGGGTCCCCAGGCCTCCCCTGGGGGAGTTTGGGGTGCTGGTGAGCAGGGGACATTCCCGAGGTGTCCCAGGGTGGCCTGGGGTGTCTTTGCCCCTCTCCCGCAGGCCACCAGCCCCACACCCAGGGCCACCAGGATGGGGGGGGATCCAGGGTGCCCCTGGGGAGCCCCCGTCAAAGCCTGACCCCCCAATTCCCCCCTCAGGACCCCTGCAGGAACCACAAGACCTACCGGGAGGTGCTGGCCAAGATGAAGCCCCCACTCATCCCCTTTGTGCCACTCATCCTCAAAGGTGAGGGGGGGTCTCAGGGGCTTCCCCTCGGTGGGTTGGGGTCCCTCTGACACCCCATGGGACCCCCCCATCACCCCCTCTCTGCCCCAGATCTCACCTTCCTGCATGAAGGCAGCAAGACCCTCCTGGACGGGCTGGTCAATGTGGAGAAACTGGTGGGTTCTGAGGGGGGATGGGGCAGAGGGACCCCCAGGATGGGGGCAGGGGAGAGGGGACCCCCCTGAGGGGCT